CAATAATACGACTAACGCAATTTCCAAATCGAGATAAAAGTGCACAAGAGAATTGGTGCTATGATTTTTCGTGCAGAACGATTATGGCGTTGCCCATTCTCATTAAACTTAATCTATCATTAACTTATCCCCCGTTCTATAATGTAATCTATAATGGTCACTTTCCATCCAACCAACCAACCGAGTGGACACATTAGGAAGGACCCAATTGATTCGCCCAGACTATTTAATCTCCACAATAATAGTTATTGGCGTGATTTTCTGATGCGCTTTTAACCATTTACAGCTCGCCTAGCGGAATAATATGAAATAATACAATGGAGTAAATAATCTCGAGGTAATAATTATGGCGTTTATCGCTCAGTGCATGCATTCCCTCCCGTCAGACAATGTGATTGTTAATCCAATTCTCAGATCGCAGTATGTATGATTCGAGCAAATAGACTACTTGATCCCACTCTGGCTCAACTCACAGAAACGTCACTCATGGTAAGTCCTTGTATTTTCTGAATGTCAAGAGTCATCGGGACAAAACTATAGCACAACAAGGTGTCTATTTACACTCGTGTATATGGATAATCTGAACTGTGACTCTACATAAACAAATGTACAAAATAGTCTTATAATATTTTGTTACGCAAGAGTCCCTCCTCCTCCACGAATGGACATCAAAAGTGTAATTTGAAATGTTTTTCGAATTAGATTATGCAAAATGTTTGCATAATCTACTCTACTGTTTTCCCGCATTGTCAGCAACACTATTATGTCTAAAAAAATTTAAAGAATTTTACCTTTTAAATCAAAACTATAAATAACTCAACCTGCCACGATTGGGAGGAGGATATATAGCCTGATATTTTATGCACTATATACTCTCCTCTTTTTCCACTACTACCCACATTATTACAACTTCTCCGAGAGGATCAAAGGAGCAAAATCCTAATCTTTATAACCCGCGTGTGCAAACTTTTTATCCGTCAGTCTTAAATCTTGAAGGATTAGAATTTCCATATCATATTGACGTAAGTAAGAAGAAGTTGGATAACGAGGTCACCGCAAAAACCACATTTATTTGATGAGTTGAATTTTGATATCCAATGAAAAATATGCATGTACATACATACATACATCCATCCGCTGCTTCGGATATCACGAAAAATCTCAGATTTAATACCAGTAAAATAATAGGATATGAAACGCATCCACCTCAAACTTCCAAAACTTTGACAATGAGGCGCGCGGCCAGGCCAGTGGCTTTGCTTATCTTAAAATTTCAAGCTGTCTCGCCTGCTTTCTCCATGACTCATGGTAATGGAGAAAGAAAGAGAGCGAGGGTGAGAGATACTCGAGATTTCCTTAGTTCACATTCAACTATTCAAAGTTATTTATAAAGATCACCCACCGTGACATGAACCACGCTGCGTGGTGGAGGTTCCTCCTTTCTTCTTCTTCTCGTGCAGCCAAAACTCACCAACATTCAGCAGATGGAGAACAAGACAAAGACAGAAAAAACCACAACCTCAAGAATAAAACCAACCACTGCTGAGCCGCTCATCTATTCGAATAATATCGGATCGGTTTTTCATGCAAAATCACAACTATTTACCCGTGACGGAGAGAGAACCTTCCACTCAATTCAGTACTACCTGACCTGCCAGGAATTGGTTGATCAAAAACTATAGCATTAACAATAAACCGTTACAACGCATGTAACCAAGGGGTGAAAGGAGTGTCATACGTCAATGTGAATATCAAATTGTTCGAAAATTTGTTAAGATTGACACTTCTGACGTGTTTTCGACTTTTGTGTCTTATTTGTGTCAAATTTAACAGTTGATAACCCTTATGTGACCTTTATATGACCTCTGAGGTCAAAATGGAGGTCACCATTAAATTCGGGGTTAAATTTCAGTTGAAATTGAAATAGATATGTCCTATGACCTTTACATGACCTCTGAGGTCAAAATGGAGGTCACCATTGAATTTGACATTGAAAAATAGTTAAAAATGACGTGTCACATGTCAAAACTGACAAGTGACACTTTTTCGTCACTTTTCGTCACCGTGACGATGTCATCGTCACAGGTGACGTCCAAACACAAAATGACATGAATTTTCGAATTCCTCATTGAAAAATAGTTAAAAATGATGTGTCACATGTCAAAACTGACAAGTGACACTTTTTCGTCACTTTTCGTCACTGTGACGATGTCATCGTCACAGGTGACGATGTCACAGTGTCCATCTTCGAACTCGTCCTGTCCCTTGACGCTAGGAGTTTACGTTCAAAATTTCAAGTGTCTATGTCTTTTCGTTCAAAAGTTATCGGAGCTACGGACAGACAGACGGACGGACGGACGGACGGACGGACGGACAGACAGACGGACATAACGATCTTATAAAGGGCTTTCACCCCTTAATAAAGCTCCTCCATCTCATTCAACCAATGGGAGAAGCAGAAGTAATAATATGACGTCAAAAACACGAGCTAATCCTCTTTACGATTCATTTCCAAGAATATTTTTTAATGAAACTGCCATCACATAACTTTCCGTTATAATAAAAAGCATCCTCCTGCAAAAAAACAACCCACCCACATTCCGCCTCTTGTTATGTATTATTATCTATCCATTTTTACAAACTAACAAGAATGCGCACACACCGAGGAGAAAACTAACTCTCAGCTCGTGTGTGTAATTCACCAAGGAAAGTTTATGGAGAATCCGCTCGGAATGACAGAGGTGGTTTGTTTTCCTCTCAATGGTATTACCTATTTCAAAAAAGAGCGAATGGGGAGCAAAAAAAACTAGAAAACAAACAGATGGAATGAGATTTGGAATTTTTTCCTTGCCTAAGAGTGAAAGTAAAGAAACGTGTGCAGGATTTTGCTCGCTCGTACCGAAAACTAAACCACTACCACCATGAGCAGCAAGCAAGTAAGGTAAGTAAAGTATGTAAGTAAGGTAACAGGTTTCCTATTTCCGTCCTGGAAGAATTTTCTCCTTCACGGCGGTGATGGTGATGCAGGAAGGAAAGAGCCAGCCAGCGGTGGAGGTGGAGGTACGTATAGAGTGGAATGGATGAAGGTAATTGTATTCGTACGAGACGACCAAGTAGCTTTGGGGAAAGTTAAGTAAAGATGAAAAAGAAAGTTCTTCTACGCTTCCAGCACAAATGCTGATTCTTTCCTTTCATTCTTTTCCCTTTCCTTCATATCTCACTCGCCCCACAACCTCGGAGAAAATGCTTTCATTGTATTTCACGGCAAAGTAGTTTCTTTTTTTTCTATCTTTCTAGAACAGAAGCTACTTAAGCTAACTATCTCCCCGGCTTATCTGCCAGCTAACCAGCCACCTAAGCAAAAATTCCAAATCTGCAGAATTTATATACTAATATTTCCCGCTAAGAGTGATGTTCCCTAATAAAATGTTACATGCATTAAATGAATGAGTCAACCAAAGAAAGACAGACAGCTGGGCTGGCACAACCACAAAAAAAGGGACATGATATCCGCAAACATTATATAAATCCGAGCCACCCAAACGGAAACAACTTCCTGTTGTTACATACTTTCCTATTTTATCTACGTAGTGGTAGAAGCGCATCTCTCTTGTCTTGAATCAGGTAGGAATCTCAGACCACAACTTCAAGGACATTAGGATAGATGAGGGAGGGGTACAGAGTGCACTCGAAAATTCGATCTACCGTGAGTACGATCAGTCAGATCCTTTTGAATTCGCAACGGTTGAGTGGCTGCGTTTATGCAGTTACATACAAGAAAGAAGAGAGGAAACAGTGTGTGCAATCTGCTTCATGATGGATGTAATATGCAGGAGGGCACTGTATCGTATCTCATTCCTCACTACATACAGTGCATGATGCAGAGAATTTGACTTTCTCTCTGGGAGTGGAAAGACCGAATTTCAACCACTGCACATCACTCACAGCCACCAGACCACCACGTCCAGCCATGCACATTCATACATATCTACGTATGTATCAAGTGGCCACGTATTGTGGTTATCCGTACGTAGGCAGTTAAGGCTAACTGAAACTTTCTCTCGCATCCGAGAGACATACGCCACAGAGCATTGCTCGATCATGCATGAAAGTGAAATTAAACGAAATGTGAAGGTGTATGTATCTGCTGGATGTAAAGAACACACCAGCCGAACATCTCCCCAGGCATTTCAAGTTTACATGTCCAATACGAATTCTGGTTTTGTTAGTCACAGAAAAGAGACAAGAGCGAGGACTAATCTGATATCAAGCGAATGTATGTAGCTGTGTGCTACAAATCTTACTAGTTAGTGCTAATTTTCTCTCACCGCTTTCATAGCCTCCAGTCTTATTAAATTACACAAAGAAGGGAGTAGAAGAGGCAAATTTCGGGATGGAAACTGAGATGAAATTCGTGCCGCGTTCTACATAAAGTTCTAACAAAAAGTCGGGTAAAATGTAGGAATGACAGGTTCATTTAAAAAAACGAGACACGAAAATAATCAAAAATTGAGTATTTTTCTACTTAACCAATCTTTTCCTATTTATAGAAATGTCACCAATTCTGACTTATGATATTAGATTTTTAACATATTTATGTTTCTTAATTTAATTCTTAGTTATTGCCGAAATCAAATTACCTACACGCGGACAACCACAGCCAGAACTAAACATGAACTTATAAAATATTCAGCAGAAATATATGGAAAAATTGTGTACATTTTGTTTGCGTTACGTCACATGTTGACAAATATCATTTCTGCATGCCATTTATATTTACGCAACTTCCAATGATAAGGTAGGCATTGGGGTGACATTATGTATGAGCACGGCGTGTCAGCTTTCTCTACCTGTGTACATACTTCAGTTCGAAATTTGGTATTCAAAATTCTCCCATTGCCATTAAGGACGGCTCACAATCACCAGAGAGACAGAGATCTCGATGCACACCATAAAGATATGTGTAATGCGTAATGTAACGTAATGGGATAAAACTGTACCTTTCAAGTGTCGATCGATCCGTCGCCGAGTCAGAAATATTCAAGGATATCTTGCACTCCTTCCTCCTTTTGGGTGAAAATCGGATAAAACCTAGAAATACAATAAAGTACAAAGATCAAGATATGCTGAGCTGAAGTAAAGAAAAAAAAGTGAAGAATTTTATAGCCATTATATGCGTATATTCCAATAAAGCTTCACAGTTGTTTCCCACTTATTCATGCAAGGAGAACAGTATAAAGTTTCGAGGAACGATGCATTTCATCTTTTTTTTCCAGTTGCTCCTTTCTTTTCAAACTTAAACTGTTAAACGCACTTGCCTGAGTTTCCCTCTTCTGTGACATTAGACTCGCGTACGTATATGTAATAATATCATATCACTTTATTCTACTGGGCCGGTAAAAATGTAAAAATTCCTAAACTTCACAACCTCCTCCTTCTCCATCTTATTATACACTTCCTCCTTCCTTCCGATTCACTAACGACACAAAAGGAAGAAGAATTTCACAACCCAGCGTCGCACTGTTTTAAGTGCATGTACTCCTAAGAAGTCGTGAAAGAACAGAGTTTTCATACTTAATCCATTTACCCCCAAACTGTTGCCTGCTTACGTTACACAATGCAAAGTGAGACCATCAGCAGTGATATCACATTCCGTCATTCAAAGACAAAAGCGGTGTCTGGTGCTCAAATTACTATAAACTTTCAACATTATTTGCATGCACTCGCTCCTGCCAAACTTGACGTCAACTCATTCCACATTTTAAATTGAAAAATAAATTCAAGGAGGCGAGTTTAGAAGGAAAATATTATAAACTATTATCATGCTACATGAGGAACGAAAGTAAGAAAAAGGGATCAAGTGGCAACAGTGGCAGATCATGGTATACACATTTTCTCACAACGATTCTACACCACCACTACACCGCGTGGAGAAAGGAGCAGCATTGAACTTCACTCGGCTGAACTAAACTTTCTCATCATTTTGTGAGGAAAGGCTATTTAAATTCCTTTCTACCAACTTTCTCCTTCCATTTGCGTCTTGAACTTTTACAGATTTCGGAAATGGCACACGGCTGGGAGGACGGCTCCCTTCAATTTCAAATTTCAATTCATCCATGCACTGTACCATAAGCTATAATCTGAAAAATCTTTTCTCGCATTCATAGCTAACTTATTGAGTCGACTTGAGCCACCCACCCACCAGTAGCATAAAGTGAGTGTGTGTGTGTGTAGTCGTAAGTTAGCATTTCGAAATCACCACCCCATACCATTCCTCCGAGTTATTCTCTCTCCCTCCTGTCCTGTCGGGAAAGAATTGCAGTGCATAAATAATATCAACATTGGCAATTTTTCTCTTCTCTCCCTTTGCGACACACACACACACACGACCGACCATGAGCAGCGAATAGAAAAGAAATATAAATATCTATGTATGTATGCAATAGAAACAGTGACTTTTCCGAGGCCAGCATATTTTTTTAAAGTTACGCATTGGCATCCGCCATACTTCAGTTTCTTTTTCTTCTTCTTCTAAAGTCATCCAAACTGACTGACAGAGTGCTGACGGGATGAACGAGCAGGCAGACTGCTGTTGCTGATCTCGCATTACTTACATATATAACCGACCAATAGGAAAACCAAACCCATCGGAAAATTCAGTTTGCTCCGCTTTGCGCTTCCTTTAACCATATTTCACATTGCAATCACAATCACAATGGACCATGCCAGCCAATTTCAATACATTTTAATATAAAAACTTCCTCACTTAAGTTTGCCTGGGTGAGCATTCAAATTCAAGTTGGGACGTGGATGTGAAATTCAAGAACCATCAGCACATTTATGTCAAATTGTTCCTCACTCCTTATTCTCCGTCCGTCCGTACGTGTATCTATAATTTTCTCTATCTCTTTTCCATGTATATTGTGTGTGGTGGCTGCTGTGTGTGATGTATTACTACATGCACACAAAGGATTCTTTCCACATCCACATCCACAAAGCACAAAACTACAACACAAACTCATATTGACAACCGATCACAATCGAACGCCACATTTACCACACATTGTGTACAGACAAATAAAAGCGAGAAGGACGTATGATTTCATCCGTGAAACACATCAGGCCCAAAATATTATTGCTTTCACATCAACACTCGCCCAACACCAGGCAGTAGTGCACTCCTACCCGTACTCACTCACTAAACTGCCAAACATACAGCAGCACCGAAGAGAAGATCTACACCGAATTTTTGCTACAGATTTACTCATCCTCACCCACATACCACCCGTTTGTTGTTGGCTTCTTTGTATTTTTATCATTCTTATTACTTTGTTCACCATTCACCATTACCATCGTCAAGATAAACGACAACATTTATCTTCGTTGTTGTTCCTAAGGTTGTGCATTGTGTGTGTAGTCGTCCTCGCAATATTCTCGAGGAAGGAACAGTCTGCCAAAATAAAATACGATATCTAAATCACCTCCAGTCAGAGCTAAATCTAACGGGAATAAATAAAGTGGAGAGACCCATCAAGACAATCTAGACTCGATCTCATCTATAAAACAAATTGCAGGCAGGGTATGGGATAATTTTTCAAATTCTATGCATCCATGAGCAGCAGCAGTGTGAATTATATAACAACAGCGTGTGCTCAATTCATGAAATGCATAGATACGAGATGAATGAAACCAACCACTACTATTATTACGAAAGAGTCTCTCTCCTCTCCTCCTCCTTCTAGTCAATCTCAATTTTCATCCTCATGCAACCACTCCACTTTCACCAACTAATAATTCTCGACTCACTAATCAAAGCAGCAAAACAAGCGCGTTGATTCGCTCAAGTGTTGAGATGTCGGATCTCTGAGTGGAAATGACTCTTATGAGATCTGAAAGAAGAGAGAGAGTGGAGAGAGAGATGAAGCAACAAGCTACAAAATATAGCACACACGCACAAGAGATGCTCTTTCTACTGGTGGATCGACTATGCAGGCTTGTCGTTTCCATTTAGTTGAGTTTTAAGAGTGGAGTGGAATTTAGAATAATGTTGGCAACGAGGAGAAGAACCATGGGATTTGTGTGTACATTTTAAAATGTAAAGAGCTACTAAGCACGACTCAAATGGCTCAATCAGTCAAGCACATTTTATACGAGATATGCATGTACCGAAAGGAGAACAATACCCACGCAACACACGACAATGAGTGGAAGGGTGATGACGGATGAACAAAAGGGGTTCGTTTTGACATTCAAGTTGCCACTTATGTTGCACCATCGTCCTCCTCCTCTCCAATCTGCCAGTCTTCTTAGAATTTCCGTATATTTTGGCTTCTTTCCTCAACTGGTTGGGTAAGTGCAACTCTTTCGCTCGACGTAATATGCACAATTCATGCGGTGCAGGGCAGGGGGTTGATGTTTTTCTCGGCTGGAATTCATACCCACCACACCACGACCCGGGTAGATTCCAGATTTTAATGGAGGATGGACATTGGATTGAATTTACGAGTTGCTACATACAAGTGCAACGGCGTATACCGCTGGGAGGTGGATTAATGATGAATGAACAGAGGGAGTTGAACTGAATTATGAATGAGCACATGCAGCTCTAAATATATAAGAATATGTATGTAAGATGGGTAGAAATGCGACAAAGTCCGAGCAAGAGGAGTTGTTGACTCATCGCTATTGTCAACAATCACATTATTGTAAGAATGGATCGACTAAAACGGGAAGAAAATGTACTGAACTTTCACCCATGGCACGGTTCCTACTTGCCTAATTAATTACCCACCACCATCCAGCATTCTAAATTTCCAGCTCGGTCTGAATAACAACGTCGGCGTCCTAGTCCTATTATAGTACGAATTAATAAAAAAAGGAGCAGCAGTGTAAGACAGTTGATCATTATGAGTAATCCCAGTTCAAAAGAACTCCAGCGACATTCTGCCCCTTATCAAACACAAGCGTGCAATGGATGATAAAAAACGTACGCGTAAGAAAAAAAAACAAGAAAAAGAATTCATCAAAAATTCCTCAAAAAAAATTGCGTTAGAAGAGAAAGTCACGCCATGCAGGCTAAGTTTTGGTGGTGGTAGTTGTCGTCGTGTTGCTCCTTCACTTTTCACACCCACCAGTACCAAGGGTTAAAGATGAAATTGGTGTTTCCTACGACCATCATGATGACACCAGCTTTTCGTATCTATCTAAATCTAAGCAGCAGCAAGAAGAAGAAGGATCAAGCCTTCTAACGCTAGCCATCAAGGACAACGCAACACGCCTCGGACCAACCCAAGTAATAATCAGACTTTGCTCTCGCAGTATGAACCACGCAACTTTCTCCCTTTCTCTCAGAACCATCGGCCAAGTCAGTACGGACGAATATAGCTACGCGAGGACGAGGGTAGACCAAATATACATCTGGGTATCCCACCATCTCTCTCAAACCCATTGTAAATTCAGATCAGGTCAACTCATCCTCCACTAGTCAAAGAGAGACCCTTTCCTTCCTCCCATTCCAAAATTTTCGAGACAACGTACAAAATCACCTCCACCACCGACTTGATGTTCTTCATGCTTCTTTCTATTGCATCATCCTCCACTGTCTTTACAACTCCTTACATACTTCACTTTCAACTTCCCTTCCTCAGCTTCTCCAGCGCCGAATTTACGTATGTACCCACATGCATCCATCTACCATCATCGTTTTGTGTTTTATTCCATCTTCCCCACATAATAATATCTACCTCTAGTCATCTGCATCATTTAAAGCCAATTCACGATCCAATTCAATCCCAAGCTCGCACTCTTCGTCTTCATCTTCGCCTCAAAGATATCTACATCCAGCCAGCACACCAACTTGTCATCCATCTACCCGCCGAGGAGAAGAAAAAGCCCTCGTTTTTTCACATACAAACAGACGCAGAGATATCTATGATCTAAAAAAATGTGTGAGTGGCTGATTTCATCCTCATTTGATCTGATGCAAAATGACTGCAAAGGAGAAAGACGATGTACGTACACATTCCAGGCAATAATGCAACCCATCATTGCTTTCTTTCTCAATTTTCTCAGTCTTGTTAATATTCTCATCA